TGACATTTTCTACTCCTGCAGAGGCTATTGATGTACAGGTCACTAGCCTAGGCTAGGCTAGGTTAGCCATCATGACTTCGTCTTACACAATTGGTGTCAGAAGGTAGAAGACACAACCATTGGGGAATGGACGCGTGGCATATTGTGTTAGATCAGAGACAAAAAGACCGAGATGCCCTTGCTGACACACGACTTGGGAAAACAAACATTTAATGCACTATTCCCTTGATGAGACATCATTTAATGCAGGAAGGCTCGGAAGTGAAAGGTAATAAATGTCCCTATGACTGGGCATTTATTAAATCTTTGTCGAGAGAAGCTCATTAAACACTCGGTAGGCCGATGACGAAGCATTGGTTGCTCGGGGTCCCTAGTAGTTAAGAGAAAAGACATTCCTCATAAGAATCAGTGTGCACGTTACCCACCTCTAATGATCACCTACTGACCACACTGATAGCAATCATGAGTTTTAAAGGTATAAATACCCATCATAAAAGGCAAGAGGGGACGACAAAAAACCTTTTCTCAAACCTATACATAATATTTTCTTCTTTCCCTCTCTCAAAGAACTGACTTGATCGTCGGAGGGGATACGCCGAAAAATACTCCGACGCCCTCCTAACTCATTTTTCTCTGTTCTAGGAACCTCCCTCAGCCTTACTGGACCGCTCCGTTGATCCACGAAAGTCATTCATTACCGTTCCAGGCCACCACTGGACCTCACAGTCTGTTCCAAGCAGCAAGGTTGACCATTCGATTGATTGACTCAAGTTCACCACAGGAGAGATCTGTTTTCGTGTTTATATTGTGCAAGATCCTGCACGCACAATCGAGCGGATACGCCGAAAAATACTCCAGCGCCCTCCTAACTCATTTTTCTCTGTTCCAGGAACCTCCCTCAGCCTTACTGGACCGCTCCGTTGATCCACGAAAGTCATTCATTACCGTTCTAGGCCACCACTGGACCTCACAGTCTGTTCCAAGCAGCAAGGTTGACCATTCGATTGACTGACTCAAGTTCACCACGGGAGAGATATGTTCTCATGTTTATATTGTGCAAGATCCTGCACGCACAATCTGGCGGATACGCCAAAAAACACTTCAGCGCCCTCCTAACTCATTTTTCTCTGTTCCAGGAACCTCCCTCAGCCTTACTGGACCGCTCCGTTGATCCACGAAAGTCACCCATTACCGTTCCAGGCCACCACCGGACCTCACAGTTTGTTTCAAGCAGCAAGGTTGACCATTCGATTGACTGACTCGAGTTCACCACGGGAGAGATCTGTTCTCGTGTTTATATTGTGTAAGATCTTGCATGCACAATCTGGCGGATACGCCAAAAAACACTCTGACGCCCTCCTAACTCATTTTTCTCTGTTCCAGGAACCTCCCTCAGCCTTACTAAACCGCTTCGTTGATCCACGAAAGTTACCCATTACCGTTTCAGGCCACCACCGGACCTCACAGTCTGTTCCAAGCAGCAAGGTTGACCATTCGATTGACTGACTCAAGTTCACCACGGGAGAGATATGTTCTCATGTTTATATTGTGCAAGATCCTGCACGCACAATCTGGCGGATACGCCAAAAAACACTTCAGCGCCCTCCTAACTCATTTTTCTCTGTTCCAGGAACCTCCCTCAGCCTTACTGGACCGCTCCGTTGATCCACGAAAGTCACCCATTACCGTTCCAGGCCACCACCGGACCTCACAGTTTGTTTCAAGCAGCAAGGTTGACCATTCGATTGACTGACTCGAGTTCACCACGGGAGAGATCTGTTCTCGTGTTTATATTGTGTAAGATCTTGCATGCACAATCTGGCGGATACGCCAAAAAACACTCTGACGCCCTCCTAACTCATTTTTCTCTGTTCCAGGAACCTCCCTCAGCCTTACTAAACCGCTTCCTTGATCCACGAAAGTTACTCATTATCGTTTCAGGCCACCACCGGACCTCACAGTCTGTTCCAAGCAGCAAGGTTGACCATTCGATTGATTGACTCAAGTTCACCACAGGAGAGATCTGTTTTCGTGTTTATATTGTGCAAGATCCTGCACGCACAGTAATGTACTTGCCAAAATTTTTATTAAATCTTTAATATTNATGAGAGATCTGTTTTCGTGTTTATATTGTGTAAGATCCTGCACGCACAGTAATGTACTTGCCAAAATTTTTATTAAATCTTTAATATTAAATGATCTAAGTATATTTACCACCATCGGAATGATATATTAGTGAAAACCAATACCCATTGTAAGTTGAGAAGATGCATACAATATACATAATTATGAGTAATTTATGTCTGAAATCATGATATAATGTAAATTGTTTGAAAAAAATGTTGATGGCAGTTGAATAAGTATTNTGTGGTTTCAATACTCATTGTAAGTTGAGAAGACGAATACAATATACATAATTAGGAGTAATTCGTGTCTGAAGTCACGATGTAATGTAAATGGTTTGAAAAAAATGTTGATGGCGGTTGGATAAGTATTTAAAACTATCGGATGAGTTTATTGAAACTTATCCTGTTTTATATTATAAATTTATAGGAGTATAATAAAGGTCTGGATGGATATAGAAAAAGAGTTTATAGATAATTGAACAAGTCTAGACGGATGCACACATAGTTTCATAGTGTTCATAATTAATAAAATTATGACAAGAGATGAAGAAAAATAACACTACTACCCTTTATTTCTTTTTAAACAAGGATTAAAAATTCGTTCTGAAACGGTCGAAACTTCTAAAACGTTTTTGTTTTTAAAGAAACAGAAACAAATCAGAAATAAAATTAAAATTCTAATACTTTGAGATATTTCATAATGTTTCAAATGTTTTGTAATATTTCAATAATTTTACACAATTTTTTTGAAATGTTTTAAACTATTTCAAGATATTTTTGTATATTTCAATCAATGTTTTTGAAAATTAATTCTTAAATTTTTTATTTTTTTATTTCATTTTTTAAAAAGATCAAACGTTTCTAAAACACATCAAAACATTTTCGTTTTCTATTTGACCAAAATAATATATCAAAACAAAATTTTGATTCTTATTTTTAAGTAACCATCGAACTTCATTTGTTATTTTCATAAAATTTTCCTGCACGTAATACACGTGAATTTAGCATAAACAAAAACAATAGTTAGACTTAATGTCACACTATTTTTTATTTAGGGTTTAATATAAAAAAATAAATCTTTAAAGAAACAACAACATTTAAACTTTTTTTGAAGGTGCAAAATGTGATTCGCCCTAACAATTAAGCCAAATGGCTTGTCAACATGATAATGAATTAATGAGCCACGAGTAGCGCCTGCCGTGTGTAGTAGTAGCAGGAGAGAGTATGATGTGCTTGGGCTGTAGCACGCGTAGAGGGACCCCCACAAGGCCGGTCTTTAAGGTCAATCTAAGGGTTTCAGTCGTCTGACCGATTCCCAATGAAAGTGACTGCTACCTCGTGGCCAACAGGTATGGAGGTCGCTTGCCTGTAATTGACTCGGACACCTCACGTGACATTTCCTCTCCAAGTTGTGTATCAGTTTGTGTGTGTGTGTGTGTGTGAGTGTGAGAGAGAGAGACACTTGGGTGAGAGAAAGTGAGTGTGTTGTTTGGGTGTGGGAGAGAGTGTTTGTGTGTGAGTGAGAGAGAGAGATTTGGGTGAGAGAAAGTCAGAGAGAGAGAGAGAGAGAGAGAGAGAGAGAGAGAGAGAGATGGGTGAGAGAAAGTCAGAGAGAGAGAGAGAGAGAGAAAGTGGGTGTGCCTGTGAAAAAGAGAGAGAGTTGGTGAACGGGCATGAGACAAGAAACAGTATATGGCATTGCTTCTTGACATTGCTGTCATGAGCAGGGAATATGTCCTTAAATCTATCCCCCCCCCGTTTCTTGTGGAAGTTAGCTATGGTTGTTGCAGGGTTTCTTAGGTTTAGGATTCATGATGAACAGGTAAAGAAAAGGACCGCTCTTTCAGATCTGATTTATGACAAACGGTTTTCTTTTTCTTTTTCTTTTTCATCATCCATTCTTTTATGGCAGTGATCGAGTGGTGTCGATTATCATGTGATTTTGACTACGTATAGAGTATTAATAAATTATAATTCATTTATTCTTTATATTACCAACTTGTTCATTTTGGGTTTATGTGAAATCGATTAACTTTAATTTGTGAATTTTTTATTCCTAACTTGTTGTATCGAAATTTGTCACATTTATTCTATTTGGGTGCTGAGGATAAGAGTGTGTATACTGCCATTCAAGAGTTATTTTACCAATTCAATCTGCTTAGCAAACAAATACTATCGTTTCTTTATTAAGAGCATTAACAAATATATTTTTTTCCCAATTAACAACGACGAATTGGAAATTCTGACTCTTTTATTTTCTTATTGTGTCATATCAATTGTTATTAACAATTGCGTTTTAAACAGTTTTGACTGAATAAATTATTTGTTAGTATGTGGTAAGAGTAAATAAACATTATTAATAAAGAAGACCTTTGGTTAAATTGCATAGTCTACATTCACAAATCAAACAAGTTTGAAGTAACTTTTGCATTCTTCTTAAAATACTCGATTTCAACGGTAGCAGTTGTCTCTTCTGTTGACATCTTTGCTCAACTTGGAATAAGAACTGTTAAATGCTGACTTGTGTTGTTTGAGTCAATTGCATTAATACTCATTATTTCGAGATTCGGAGAGGTTTTCATATATGCAGTTGGTTATTTTTCATAATTCGAACACCGACGCGCAAACCAAAACAGAGTCACCTTACCACTAATGACTTTTACTAATAGTTTAGAAGTTTGAATCTTACTAGAGAAGTCTATGAGATCGAAGAACTGGAGATTGAAGGTTCGATTTTCCTCCCAGCATTCTCCCTCTCCCCGGTAAAAGTGAATGACCAAAAATAAATAAATACTTGACATCCACCTATTCATACTAATCTATTCCAAAGGGATAAGGCATGATAAGCAGACTGGTTTTCCACTTATAAAAACCATGGGTTTGGATTATTCAACTTTTATCATAAAAGGAATCTATGCTACAATTGCTTGTGAATGGGTGTAAGAATATTTCTTCTTGCCTTTGTTTTAGCAGACCTATACCCCCGTTAAATGCTCGTCATCTAATCTATTCCAACATTGTTCAGCACAATAACAAGTTGAAGAATATTACATAATTACATGCTTTTGCTCCAACAGCATTTGGTTTCCTCTTTTGTTTGAGTCCAATTTACAATACTGAGAAACATTTTTATACCATACCTTCACTTTTTAACCGATAGGAATGTGTCGCGTGTGTACAATTTTTTTAATTTCAGTCAATAGTTACAAATTATTCAATTCAAAATCAATATCTGAGATTGATGGTGGTGCAGGACCGATGTCAATATGGTAGCTTTGACCCTTTTGTTATATGAGTAGCACCTTCTGCTTAGTCATGTTTATTGTAAAGTTGTCAAAAATTATAGTATATATATCCACATAACCGAAATAATGGCGAAGACGGATTCATATAGCCGATCCCAAATAATTATGACATAAGACTTGGTTTGCTTGGTTGGTATATGTGTACCATACAAATGTATGAGCTATTTCTTAAGTAATTTGTCAAGATTTTTATGAGCTTTCTGAATGCAATTACAAATTGACTAGAAAAAAATTAACCTCGGTCATGAGGACGTACTCTTTTAAGCTCTCGAATTAATTTTTATAAACTTGGGATAAATTATACTACAAAAATATGGATTGTAACAGTACAATAATGAAGACTAATTTGTACATACATATCAATTCTAAATAAATGGGCTGCCCATTACACAATAACATAAGAATCAAGAAGTAAAATATGAGATTGTTTGGGCTTTTGAAAAATTCAAATATGGTGAATAACCCTTTGAGTATTAGTTGAGAAATTCACTCCTTCCATACCTCATAAGAGATCAATATAGCCTCTTTTGGTTGAGGAAGCAACTATCTTGACTATAGAAATCTACCTTTCTTGTTTGTTGAGGTGAATTATACTCTATTTTAATCTTGCATGATGAACATAATCATGAAAGTTAATGTTAGATTATACATATAGCATACAATGTTTGATATATAAATCATTACCATGCTTTCTTACTTCGTTAACGAATAAGTTGGTAGGCACAGAATTATGTATATAATATTTTTTTTAATGACGATGAATTTTTTCAAGACATAGGGTATTGAATCTCGTAGATACCGACAGCTATATGTATCGATTAAAGTTGAGAGTGAAAAATAAGTGTTCTATTTGAGACGTTTGAATTAATTATAATTTGTCTTAAACTAATCCTACGCTACCGAGCTACCCATACAAGTCAAAATGCATACAAACTTATTTTCACTAACCTCTTGTTTGTTTTTCTTCTCATTATATTCTAATGTTTTTTTATTAAAAATAGAATAATAAAATACACCACCTTAAAATATATTCAGATTAGGTGTCTTTATATACTTTTAGTTGCAGGAATGGCGTCCTCCACTCTCTCTCTCTCTCTCTCTCTCTCCACCTTCCTCATCCCTTTTCTTTCTCTGAACTTGAGTCCCTTGGTTTTCTATTCACTGCACTGTAATCTTGTGCTATCATTTCTTTAGGAACCATAAAATAATCAACTTTTCCTTCAGTTTGCTAAATCATCATCATCATCTCATACTTTCTCTCTCTTCATTTCTCTTCTCTGCTGTTGTGGTTTATGGATTTAGACTTAGGCTCAGTATCTCGCTTTGCGTCTCAGTTCCAGAGGCCTGACCTTCACCTCCAAAGACAGCAGGACTCCGACGATGACAACAATCTAAACCAGTTCTCCGGCGAAAACGATGATAATAACTCTCCTCAAGGCCTTGAACTGGTGACCTCCAATACCAGTTCCGGCGATATCGTCGGTCGTCGTACAAGAGGAAGACCGCCCGGGTCAAAGAACAAGGCCAAACCGCCAGTGATCATTACCCGAGAGAGCGCAAACACTCTCCGAGCACATATTCTTGAGGTTAGCAGTGGCTGTGATGTGTTTGAATCTGTAGCAACCTATGCGAGGAAGAGACAGAGAGGTATTTGTGTATTGAGTGGCTCCGGCACGGTGACCAACGTGAGCTTGCGACAGCCGGCGGCGGCTGGTACGGTGGCGACACTGCATGGGCGGTTCGAAATTCTTTCATTATCGGGCTCGTTTCTGCCACCGCCAGCGCCGCCGGGAGCCACCAGTTTGACTATATATTTGGCCGGAGGACAAGGTCAGATCGTCGGAGGGAATGTTGTGGGTGCTTTGATTGCATCAGGGCCAGTGATTGTTATGGCAGGTTCATTTACAAACGTGGCTTATGAGAGGTTGCCTTTGGATGAAGATGAGACACTTCAGATTCAGCCACCTGTATCACAGCCCTCCGGCGGCGGAGGTGGTGGCGGAAACCCATTTCCTGATCCATCTTTGGGGCTTCCCTTCTTCAACTTGCCATTGAATATGCAGAATAATCAGCTTCCCTATTAGGGCACAAAGGTTAGAGAATCAACAGATCAAAATCATCATCATCTTGTAAAATCTGATTTTTATGTTTTCTTAATTTAGATTAGTTTGTGTTTTCATTTGTGAAAACCCTTTTTCTTGTTTGTTGCTCTTGGTGGAAAGAACTCATAGAACCTTTTTGATTAGAAAATATTTTTAGGTTTAGTTTCAAGAACAACCCTATGATCATTACTTTTAACCAACTTGCACAATAAGATTAGGTTAAATAATAGAAACATGTTTGCGAAATCTATGCTAAAGTAAAAGTGTTTGATTAAAATAAATTGTTTCTTTATCTTCTTTCAAAATAAAAATATTAGAGTTCTCTTCAAAAATTATTTTGATACCAGGTGAAGTAATATTTTATAAAAAAAAATGTAAAAAATTTGAGGATTTCTCTCCCAAAGATGAATCCTTTGTGATCTAGTGATCTGATAGAATATCAAATAAAAAAACTCATATCAATGTCCTTGCTGGCCGCCCTGGAATGGATAGACATACATACATGTTATTTCCACCATCTCTCTCTCTCTCTCTCTCTCTCTCTCTCTCTCTCTCTCTCTCAAGCTTCTGTCACAGTTGATGAAAGCCAAAAATTCCAAGGCTCTCCTGGTTTTGTTGTTTCAATAGGTTCTCATATTTTAGATATGTTTGTCTTAAAATAAATGCTATTGGATGTGATGGGACTTTGAACTCCAAGAGAACTTCCTTCTGAAAGCACCTCAGAGATCAAGTGGCTAGTCATGAAACAAATATATACTTGGTAATCACTACATCTTAAAACTTTTGGGTTATAAGTAGCTAGATACATTCTCAGAAATTCCACACAAATAGTGTCCAGTTGCTCAAAATCCTGAAATACTTGCACTATCTGCCATCCTTATGAACAATCTCTATATTTTAGGACATTGGGCATCAAGGTCATAAATAATCAAAAGGACAAGTTATTCTTTTTAGAGAGAGAGAGAGGAGTCCAATGTTCAAAATGTTATAAATCAAGGTCTTCCATTGACAAAGTCTTGGAGATCATAGCCAACCATTTTTGAATTTTTTTCGTTTTAATTTGTAATTGACTGCAGTGAAGCTTAGTCCTCATATTAGCAGGAGAAATACTCGAGTTTAACCAATTAAAGAAATAATCAATTTTTCTTCACGATTCAAACAAGATGTTGAACTTACTATTGGCTACATTTGATACCTACATGAGTTTGACAAGGTTAAAAAGTGTCTCTTTGATTTTGCCATTTTTTTATGACCATTGTTAATCTCGAAAATCTGATTTTTATAACGAAAAATATATCTACTATACTATCTCTTACTAAAAAGTGTCTTGTTGATTCGTGTGGCATAAGCGATAGATTTTCTTTATTCGTTTTTGTATTTACAAAAACATGGAGGAGTTATGCATTATTTTATGGGCTATACTATATGTTGGGCACACAAGTCAATGATTCCTTTTGCTTCCTCTATTATGCTTGAATGTGCTTGAAGATTGATATATTATCACTTTCATTATGGGCCTTTTCCATTGTTACTACTTAATTCTGGTGTGTGAATTTTGAACAATAAAACGTTCATCTAAGTGACAAGACAGCTAAGGAAGATTATTTTACAAGATTAAGAGATACCAACAACTGGATTAGATAGTTTTGATAACACAATTGGGTGTAGGGCCATGAACTCCATTCTTCCAGCATATGACAACCGCCTTCCTTTCCAATTGCTAATTCGGTGATTGAACTTGTCCAAGAGGAGGCAATCCTTCATGTAGAGCAAAGTGAGGCCTAAGTCCTATATAGCTTACCTACCAAAAAGTTACAAAAAATAGGTAAACAAGATACATGTGTAATCCTAGCTATAAGAATGGTTTGGTATTTTCATCTGTTCTCTTTTGTGTTTGTAAAACCCATATTGAGTATATTAATTAAACCACCCCTTAAACCACCCCACTATCGAGAAATTAAAAAAAAAATATTAGACCAAAACACCCTCGATTTGAGCTTATACATGTTTTTGGATCTAAGTCTGAGAAATTGTATATATAACACTATGATTGATGCTCATTCACAACCTATGAGAAAAGGAGTTACTTCATTAATAAGCAATCAATGTGTGAGTTCAAAGTAGTTAAGAATCTAAATATAGCGGTTGCTTTTGTTCATCTGGTTTGTGAAGAGCATTGAACAACAATACTCTTTGATGGCTTAACCTTCATTACTTATAATTCATCGGTAAACAAGTGTGAAGCATGGATTTAATGAATAATATATGGAAATATCTCGTATTTATTTTTCTTTCAATGTCCATTTGTTGACAATTGTATAATTCTTTTATATTTTTCATTTTTTCCTGTCCTTATGGTTCATTGGTGTTCTTGTGGACCATGCTATGTATGGTTTGTGAATAATTACTTGCATTCCACATTTACTTAGTAACCATGAGTTCAAAAGACATACAATTGAAACATCTCTCGGGCATCAAATGTGGCTGATATGCTATTACTTGGTAGCATTTAACCAATTTCTTTGCAGTAGAATAATTTCTTTTGTAGGCATTTGCAGACTAACAACATGATATAATATCATAATCCATTGATCCTTACGTTACGAGGTAACAATAATACTATTTGTCCTTAATCGAGGGACCTAATATATATTTTGATTATTGGATTAGTAGTGGACTTTTCTCAATATTAGAACCTGCTATTGATGCGATGGCTAGAACGTATCACCTATTCAAATTAGGTTTTGAGTGTCTATATTTGCATTCTTATGTGTTTATATAGTTGTATCACAATTTGAGTGTTTCAAGTATATAGAGTTTCATCGATAATTCTACAATTATAAGTGACATGAATGGAAGACTAACGAATGAAGATTATATGATACTTAAAATTTAGTTTTTTTTTCAGCAAGTAAGATTCATTTCTATTGAACGAAATGGTAAATAAAAAAAAGTATACCCCAATTACAAATGTACCAAAAAAAGAGAAGGGGAAGGGATGGCAGCTCTTCTAAACGAAGAACAACCATCCTTGAAATAAAAGACCTCAAAGTTAGTTTTAATGTTCCACAAATGCTCTTGTCAGAGATATGTAAGTGTAGATTTCAATGGTGATAACATTGTATGGCTTCAGTTTTTGGAATGACTCCTTAGGGTTGCCCTAACTATGTCCTGTCGGGTTGTTAATTTACACCAAACGTGTTTGATTAGTCCAGCTAGTAAATGCTTTTGTGACCTGGAATTGTGTACTCCTAATAGATGCCAAGGTGAAAGACGTTTCCATCTTTATGAATTTTGAAAAATATAATGTGTACATAATTTTATCATGCATGTGATTAGACTACTTATGTAAATTCAAACTCGTAAAGTTGAGATCTCAATGGATCAAATCTACTATAGTATCAATGCCCACCCTTTGTTGGGGCATCCGAGTAAGTGACAAATGATTGCAGGGTTTTAGTTTAAAGAAAAATGCTAATTCAAACTTAATTCGTTCAGTTAGTACATGACAACATTTGAATTGGTAGGTTAACAAATTAAGTCAATATATCAAGTTCGAATAGCAATGCTCTAGTTTAATTGTTGGATGAGGCTTTAAGTATTGATGCACAACAAGTGGCGGAAATTTTGATGTTTTATTTGAATGTGATCAATTCCGTTCGATTAGGGAATTCTATAAGATTTTATTTTATTTCTTAGTTTAATTAAAAAATTATTTTATTTTTTATTTTTTTGGTTTAATTAGGATTTTATTTTATTCAGTTTCCTAATTTATTTAGAATTCTAGTTTCCTACTTGCTTTACGGTCTCTACTACTATTTAAAGTCTTGTAAATTTTAAGATAAAACAATTTTTGATTATTGAATATACTTAAAAGAGTTGTCTATTTTTTTCTCAATTCTTCTAGTATTCTTATGAATCAACAGAATTATTGATGCTTTTAGGGCTAGTATTATTTGTAAATCAACAAACTTGGAGTACAAATCTAAACAAATATTTAGGCACAAATCAACAATTTATTTTCATTTTACTTTTTCGTTCCTTATAACTTTCTTTCTACCTGCTTCCTTGTATATATCATGTACACATGGGAAAGGGATATGTTAAATGGGTTTGAAACTTATTAACTACAACTTTGCTATCATTGAGTCATAAAGTATTTTAAAGTAAAGAATAATATTATTGAGACCTAAAAAATAAACTAAATTTATTAATTTAATAATGTGATAATAACATAGTCCAATAGTGTTGTTGTGATGGTAAATGTTAGACTTTTTCATTGGGATTTTATTACTTGATATATTATTACGTCAATAAATTAAATTAATTTTTTAAATTTAAATAAAATTATTTTGAAATAAATGTCACAATAACTAGGGAGCAATAATTGTAAAAATGCAAATAAATCACCTAAAAAATGCAACAAATGCAAAAAACAAAAAATTAAAAAAAAATCATATCTACTTATGGTAACATACGTTGGGAAATTATGACGCCTTATCTTGAAAAAAATTGAGTAGATTCAGATTTTGACTCCTTCAACACTACAATAGAAAAAGTTTTTACTGAGGAAATATTTTCTGTAAAAAATTTAAAATTTTCACCGTAAAAGTAATTTTTGAGACAAATTCATCACCACATTCTTCGGAGCATGAGCAACGCTGAAATTATTTACTGAGATAGTGTGTCGTCTGTAAGTGACCAAAAATATTGAAATGTACATCAACAAATTTTACGGTCAATAACTAAAGTGTCATATTTAGTTTATGTTACGTAAATAACTTCTCACCATCAAGGCATTAATATCATAACCATTTTTAAAATTGTGTTTCAAAGAAAAAAAACACGTTAAGAAGAAAATGTTTTACCAAAATTCAACATTGGGCAAAGTAATTATTTAGGCTGTTATAAATTATGCTGCAATCTTGTTAACCATGTTAGTTCCTGAGGATAATAGAGTTGAATTTTGTGAATTGGTGCGCTCATTCACGTACACTAATTTGTGTTTTATGTACAAATTAAAGAACAACATTCATTTGAAACCATCATATTAAAAACACTAAGTTTCATAATAGGAAAACACACTGAATCAAAATAGAAATAACTGATGCAAAGCACAATCAAAGAGGAGAGAGAGCAGCCAGATGAACTATGTCAAATAAGGCTGAAACACAAAATACATAGAAAGACAACACTTCTTAAGGGTGGATAAAGCTAGGCCTCGGACCATCTTTGTTATAAGCAAATGGTGGAAGAGTACTCCTGTCCCAGCCTAAAGGTTGCACATTAGGCTGCAAGAAATCCTTGTTACATTGGTAATTTTTGTTTTGCATTCATGGAGGTCTCTGAAGCCACCCGCGCCTCTGCAGTACTCTATCCACTGCTCGATCCATTCTTCAAATGTTTTTCTTTCTTAAGCGACTTGATCTTCCTCGCGATGTCCTCTATGTATTCGTCAAGCAACCACTCCATGTCATTCAAATCGAGAAAACAGAAATTGTGCAATTTTTCACCAGCCAAGCACTGAAACATTGCATTAGTCATCTCCTTATGCCAATTCTCCTTTTCTTGTATCCTCAGTTTTTCCTTAGTTTTCTTGATCCTTTCGCGGGTGAAACTCTCTTGGTTCTCCATTTTCCTACCTTGATCCCATTCGGGCAACTTCTTGAACCTCGAAATCACTTCTTGAACCCCTAACGACGAGGGCCAAACCTCGGGATCATGGTTGTAAGGACTTAGAATGATGGCACAAGCATCAACACCACAAAGGGTACTAATCTCATTCACCTTCTTCATCAAACCTTTCTTCCTTTTCTTGAAGGAAGCTTTCCTTTCAGAACCATTGGGAATATATGAGAGGGTTATTTTCTTTCTTGTCATGGCTAGGAATGAGGCTGAAAGGGAGAAAATAGGGCTAGATTGTTTTGGACTGTGGGAGTTGTTACCCCCAAACAGCATAATATATAGTGCTGAGGAGAACCAAATATTAATGATAGGGGATATATGTAGATTAGTTGTACACATTAATTGTCTTGCTATTATTGAAAACTAAGGATATATATTTGGGACAATAGATTTGAGTTTCCGTGATATTGCTGACCTATTATACATGATTGATTCTAGTTCTTGTCGAATTTTAGTGAATTTAAAATTGTGAAGCTTACCTTATAAGTTACAATATATTTCAAGTAAGAGCGGCAATTCTATCCTGAAACTCTGTCAATTCATGCCAACCCATATATAAATTCACGAGATGAGTAACTTATTTATTTCTGCATCACAAATAGTTATCTGGTTACAAAGCGGCAATTCTATCCTGCAACCTTGTTAATTTGCCCAACCCATGTATAAATTCATGAAATGAGTAACTGATTTATTTCTGCGTCATAAATGGGTGAAATAATAAATCAGTCAAATGAATTAAATAGATAAAGATGAGTGGGAAATAGGTGGCCACTAGATTAAACATATGCTAGGCTTATCTTTTTTTTTTTTTGGTTCAAAGGTTATGGGTGTACGGCCCCGACTTACGCATATCTCGACTAATCTCCTCCCCGATCCGGTCAAAAATAAACTATCCACGCCGTAATGGGTAAACTTATTTATAAATTAACGAGATGAGTAACTTATTTATTTCCGCACCATAAATGGATGAAGTAATATCAGTTAGAAGTGGCAATCGAACCATGTCGTATCGAGTTCGTGTCGAACATTAGTCAACCCTAACTCAATCCATTTAACTAATCGTATCGTATTAAGTTGACTTATTTATTTTCATATTGTGTTCGTGCTCGTATTTATGTTGACCCACATAAACTTTGAATAAAAAATTTAACGCTAAGTTTCTATTTTTACTCAATTGAACTCATGTTCGTTCTTTTTCTACAAACTAAAAATTAACTTAATAATAATAATAATGACTAAAAATATATTTTTTATACAATAACTATGTTAATGTCTAATAAACAGTTATAAATAATTAATATTTTATTTCTATAATGCTAATTAAACATTCTGATTGTGTTAATTTCATGTTGTTTGTATTACCATACAAAACGAGAAAATAAAGACAAAGTGTCAATTTTTAAATAAACGGATTGATCGTGTCAATTTCAAGTTTGGCGGGTTGAATCCGAACATGACCCGTTTATATTTTGTGTTCGCGTGTCGGGTCATTTTCGAGTTCATGTTGAATTATAATCCAATTCATGTCATAAAATTTATTTCGAGTTTAAGTCATGTTGTCGGGTTGAGCCGAAAATTTTTATCCCTAATATCAGTCAAATGAATTAAACAGATAAAGATGAGTGGAAAATAGGTGACTAGGGGTAGTAATTGTGGCGTGTCATTTTAAATTCGTGTCAACTACTTGTCAATCTTAACTCAATCCGTTTAATTAATTGTGACAAGTCGTGTCGACCTATTTATTTTCGTATCGTGTTCGTATTAACCTATATAACCTATGAATAAAAAAATTAGCACTCAGTTTTACACCTAAAATTTTATTATCACTTAATCGAACTTATGTTCATACCTATTCTATAAACTAAAAATTAACTTAATAAATATAATAATAAAAATTAGTAAAATTATCTTCTTCTTTTTTTTTACAAGAATTAGATTATTACTTGATAACTTGATAAAATATATAAAAAAAATTGTCATTTTATTCTTATAATAATACTTAAACTTGTCAATTTCTTATTTTTCGTATTTGACATCAACTCAATGTATTTATTATTTGTGTTAACAAGTCATATCATATACAAGTTCGTATCTAAAAATGGTCATTTTATTCTTATAATAATACTTAAGCTTGTCAATTTCTTATTTTTCGTATTTGACATCAACCCAATCTATTTATTATTTGTGTTAACAAGTCATATCATATACAAGTTCGTATCTAAAAATAGTTAACCTTAATCTGCTAATTTCGTATCAATTTTTAGTCATTTTTTTGTGTTTTGTCAAAAATTATCACCCTTATACGTGACTATTGGATTAAACATATGTTAAGCTTATCTATGGTAAGTTGGGGCCACTCTTTCAGTAGGTTGAAGTTTAAGTGTAATCAAAACTTTCAAAGAGATAAGGCAAATTAAATTAGTGATTTAAGGTTTTAACTCTTAGTCGTTTGCTTTTCAATGGAAAGATACATAATCTTTTAGGCAAGTTTACAACCGTTTAAGGGTACTTGAGGCTTATCCATTAGTTGTTACTGAATTAAATAATTTTCTTTCTGTTGAAGTCTATGTTTTGGTAATAACTATAGTGGACATTCAAGTTTAGATTCAAATGATGGGTCCTCAAGTTGTTTTATTTATGGAGAGAGAGAGAGAGATTCACAATGACTATGTTTAGTAAAATCAGGCAAGGGGGTGTCACAGTCCGTGAAATTTAGACTCTCTATTAGTTTGATTAACCAAAGTCTTTATAGCATAATTGTCAATTGAGTTGACTGGCTTGGAGTTGTTCTAATTTAACTAAAGTTTTCGGTTCGAGAATTGAGAATGCAGCTGTGTTTAATTACTCGGTAGAGAGAGTTTTGCCACCCTTGTGGTCCTGCCCGGCTTGAATCCAGATTCGGAGCCCGTTGTGACCACCGGACGCCAAATGGTTTACACCCAAAAAAAAAATTGAGTTGAACCTCTAAGTTTTGATTTGTTTAGGTTTATCTCAAGTTGACGCAGAGGCGAAGCCAAGTTTATCCTACTGTAGGGGCAATTAATAGTTTGAGGAGAACAACCATGTAACAATTAAAAAAAAAAAAAGAATTGCGAATTCAGTTCGATTTTCAAGAGATTTGAATTCAATTTTTAATTTTTTAAAATCTGATATGAATAGTCAACGAATTTTTTTTAGTCAATATCCAAATAAAGTAAATATTAAATATTCGAGCGGAGATGTGAGTTATTTAAAGTTGAATTTTATTTGATTACATTTTAGTTCAATTCGATTGTATCAAGTAATACTCAATTTCATCATATATCCACATATATTAATGTAATAAATCGGATTATATCAAAATTTAAATTTGTGAAATAGGATATAATATATTTAAACTTGGATAATCAATCAAAGTTATCAAAAATTCGTGAAATAAGACATAAGAGGTTTGAATTTGGATAATCCGTCAAAATTATCAATTCATAGCTAACTAATTGAACACTAACTCAAATTAAATTCCGATTAAAATCCAATATGTTAAGAGTTTTATTTATTAAATAATCCCATTTGATTCTTAAAATATCAAACTATACCCAAATTTTTTATAAACTTTTTTGGGGGCAAAGTTTAAAAAAACTTTAGATTTTTATAAATTTTTAGAAAAACTCAAAAAATTTTGAAATTTTCAATGGGGGCAACTGCCCCCAACCTTGTACCCGCCTTGCTACTGTCACTGGTTTAAGCTCAATAACCAAACTTGAATTATTACCCAAACTCAACTTAATTAAATTTATGATCATATGCTCAAGCTCAACTGAGTCATTAGTTTTAAGATCATAGCTTGTTTGAAAAGATTTTATGGCTATTACCTTTAGCTTGTAAATTTAAAAAATTTATGATTTGTTTGATACATATGGATTGTAAGTGATTGTGTGCATCCTAATCATGTAATGTAGGCATGAGTTCAAAAAGAATGCATTTAGAACGATTTTCTATCATAAAAAAGTAATAATATCACACATCGAGCTAAGCTTAGATGAGAAGATTTCATGACCATTATTTTTAGCTCCCAAGTTTACAAGAATCTTGATTAGTGTAGATTGCAAGTGACTGTGTGTATCTTAAATATATAATTTTGTCATGAGTTTTATTTTTTGGTTCAATAGTCAGCGATATTCAGGTTAACTTATGCATACCTCGACAAATCTCTTCTCTGATTCAGTTAAAAGTAAGTCATCCATGCTGAGACTAGGGAATTAATGAGGGATAAATTCCTCATAATCTAACTTCAAGGAATTGTCAAAATTTTAACTCAAGATGTTTGAGTTTGCTGCTAATCCTTGTTACCACTTGAACTACCTCATAAAGTTAACTTCATCATGAGTTCAAGTGAAAGTAATTAAATGTAAATGAAAGTAAGTAAACTTATACCAACTTCATAAAATCTCATATGAAGCAAATGGATTAGATCAAAATATAATGATAACTTAATAAAAATAAAATAGACCAAGTAAAGTAAGAACATTATAATAATGAATCACTTGAACCAAATAATAAAAAAACTAAATCAATTTTGAAACTTTGGAGTTCCATTTCGATTAGGCTATTTTATATATATATATCAAAGAAGATCATGTGTTCTAATGTGGTTTTGGCTAGTTAGTTTCACACTATAAAAAAAGAGAATGGATGTCAATGAAAAATTTTAATCTTCCATGAAATTCTAATATGCTTAGTAGCATTTCAGAGTGACATAATTAGGGATGGTAATTTTTAACGTAACACGATAACTCGATTCAAAATCAATACAAGTTAGGGTTGATCATTTCTCAACACGAACCCGTAAATGAAACAATTTATTAGTACAAATAATAAATTGGTTGAATTAGTATAAAACATGAGAAATACGAAATTGACACGATTAACACGTTTAACTAGTATTGTAAGAATAAAATACCAATTATTTGTTATTGTTTATCAAACACTGACATAATTATTGATTAAAAAAAACATTTTTACTCATTTTTATTGTTTATTAACTGAATTTTTAATTTATAGAAAAAGTATGAGCATGGATTCAATTAAGTGATAATAAAATTTTAAACTTAAATTTTAGAGTTAAATTTGTTATTCACGGGTTATATAGGTCAACATGAACACGACACGAAAATAAACAGATTATATTAACACGATATAATTAGTTAAATTAGTTGAATTAGAATTAACTAATACTTGACACAAACTACTAATGACATAATACAATACAACACACGAATTAGAATTAACTAATACTTGACACGAACTAGTAAATGACATAATACGATACAACATGATTGTAACCCCTAGAGGTAACTCTCCATTATCTTTCCTTTGAAAGGGCCATGTATTTCCACGATGCTCTATTTTGCAATTCTTTCGATTATAAAACCTGGCAAGTAATTGGACATTGGACCCACATTCTCAAGTAGTTTGGCAACCATTGTGGTTTCACCTCCCATGGGACTATTCTATTCCTAGTGAGCATTACTAAAATCACACATTGATGCCTGTTCAGGAGAGTTAGAGATTGACACAAACCACATTCTAAAGCACTTTCTTGCTTGGTGAATATTTTCCAGTACTAAATAGCATTGAACAACACAACTTCATAAAACAAAGCCAATCCCTTACTATCATTTACACAGAATTATAAGAGCTTTACACATCTCTTATTACAACAACTTGTCAATGACCTTAAAAAAACCTAGCTTCCACGGTATGTGGAGAAGGAGAAAGGAGAAAGCAGCAGAGGAACATGAAAATGCTCCCACTTCTGCGACTCCCTAATTTCAAACACAATTGAGACATACGGAAAAAATCCATCCGGGCAGTATTTGCCCGTGTTGAAACTTATTCGATATATACCAGGATTCACAACATCGGTCACATTTATCAATTGGCCACTTCGTCCATCTTTGTCTGCAGTTGAAACCCCTCGAAATATCCAACTGCCTACATCTTTATCACCAAACACTGGACGGGGTTGATTGCCTTTCCACATCTCCAACTGTACTTCAATACCTGCAGCAGGAGAACCACGCGCAACATCCAAAACATGGGTTGTGATGGGAGGGCGAGTCCTTGCTGGAATTTGAGATGGTTTCCCAGTAGGCTTTTCAGATACAGCAGTCAAATGTGCTCCAACAATGCTCATTCGATCTTCTACGATTAACAAAAGAGCATCATATATAATACACAATGGTCATATTGAAGTTTAGCTCAAGTGGGAAAAATAGTGAGTATTTCAGAACTAAAAACTATTGAAAGTAGAGAATGTGCCAAATGAGCTTAAAAGATCATTAAAAAAATACTAAGCAATAGAAGGACAGAGCCTCAACTATAACTTCTTTTCTCAAACCGTGAGTTTCAGAAATATAGATGTAGCATCAATGCATGCAGCTAAATATAGACACAGTCTATAAATTATATGTTCTCGTTATGTGACATTTCAGTAAAATGGATAAGTGAGGAACTATCACCAATTAGTGCAAAATATGCATCACTCATTATAACAGGTTACATGAACACAATGAAGGAACCAAAAATAATCTGGGACTTCCTCAAATATTAGGAGAAGTATCATAATCAGCATCCCTCAAGAAGTAAGAATTCTTTCACCAAACATTTGTTTGACCAGTGATATCAAATTGTAGGGTAAATTATATCTTAACTGTCCAAGGGGTTAAACGGGCTAAAGGCACCCTCAAAACATAAAAATTGTTCACTTGAGGAAGATCAAGCTCATCTAAATTAGATATATATTTAAATGCTGTTCTAAGGTCATCTGGTAAAATTTATGAAGCATATAGATAACAGGGCAAGTAAGGCTCTATTTGTGAAAGTCAAAATAACAAAATGGGTGGAAAACAAAATCAACCAAAGCTGACTATATAAGACAAGGACCAGCAAAGACTTCAACAAGTGCAAAAGCTAATCCAATGCAAAATCACCTTCTGCCTTTGATGCAACACCTGCACTGTACTCAGCATTGTTGGCTGAAGCAGCAGTAGTTACATTTGAGAAGAGTTTGAAAAGACGTAGCTCAGTTACTTTCATTTGTTCTTTGGCTGCGATCTCAAACTCAATAATTGGTCTGTTTAGGTAACGTTTCTACAATAGAACAAATTCTATTAAATATGGAAAAGAAAGACTTCTTTCATCACCATTGCTTCAAATGTAAAACAAGAATGTGGCGAAAAACTAGACCTAACAAACGATGCACTGAGTTTCATAATTCTAGTCAGGCAAAGGTTTGTATTCTTTTTTCATGCATATCAAACTAAAAAAAAAATTCGTGGTCATTTTCTGGGTCTCAGAATGGATGTAAAGTCAGCTGAAAGCATCCCAGGTTATTACCAACCTCACATTGGAACATTTTCCACACACATTATTTCATAATGTATTTTTATCTTTCTATCAACCTGGAATTATGGGTTAGTTAATGAACCAAACTGAAAGTCTCAGAATATAAACAGAGACTATTTAACACAATTCAACGAAAATCCCTAACGACAAAGCATTATCAAGCAATAGTTATACCATCAATGTGCAATTCTACTGCTATGTACGTAGGGAGGAGGTTTCATTCACGACTAGCCCCAGCTAGAACAACACACTATTGGAATATCACCTTGAGCTCAGCAAGTATTTCAGAGGTGGTCCGTCCAGATGCACATATCAGAAAAACAAACCCAAACTTCTGCCAATACTGAGTATTCCAATCAGATAGTTCCTGTAAAGACGAAGCATGTTATATATCGCTAGGAACAACAGACAATTGTTCCAAATTTGTTAACCCAACAAATATTTTGTTGGTCACATGCATAATTGCGAATGCTGGTCATGGGAATAAAGACGAACGTTAAGTAAACAGTTGGTCAATATTATATGGGTCTACATCTCGGTCACTTGTTGCTTTCCATTCAGTTCACCCCAGTCCCCATAAGATGTTTCACCATTTGGATCTTTGGTATCTTTGATTTTAAAATGAAAACATAATTCAAAGTGATTTGCTAATTTATCAAACACCTGTAAGCTAGAATCAGTAGCAGTGGCCAAAGCAGTTGATTGTTCTCCTTTGCTCCACCTACAAAAAGAATAAAAGATGACTTCACTTACAATATACATTCATGAAACTACTCACGGCTGTCTAAAGGATTAGAAAAGAGATCATATGAGGAAGGAAGCAAGTGAGGATTTCTTTCAAATTTTAGTATTGGTGGGATGCGCACGCATGAGTGCACATGTGACGAAGGGTGATAGCGACATAGCAAGGCAATTGGTTATCAAGTTGAGTCCTAATTATAATAACAATAATCACTTTGGAAAAATAACTCAAATCAACAAATATTATCTCAACTATTTGAGGTCTGCCACGTGCATTTTGTTTCGCCCTTTTACTTTATCAATGGGACCATATGTCTTACTAAAAGCCAAAAAGACAAGTTATAGTTTTTTTTAACTAGTCATATTCAATGTTAATCTAGGTCTATTTTTCCCTTTAAAATACCAACAATAGGTGAGACATGTTTTGCATCACTCTTCCTCACTGGTATGGTAATATACCTTCTATAAACAGGGCAAAATCACCCAAATTGATTCTCCCATAATTTACCTCCTATTCATGTTTTTTCTACCATTTCATGAACACACCCCTTTTTGTTCCATTGTTTCTGATTTTAATACACATCCATCTGTACATGCAGCCAAAAAATTCGTATTTTAGCCGCCCTTAATTGTTGAATGTGTTGTTATTGAATTAGCCAATATGTTGTCATAAAGCATGATTGATTCATTTGATTTACCATTCAGCTTATCACATAATATATCAGATGAACTCCTCCATTTCATATATCTTGATTTAATTTTATGAGCAACATTATCTCCAACCTCCCCCTTCCAAGTGAATCATTGGACCCCGAATATCAAAATTATTCTCTTTTTGGTAATTTTTGATATTTGTTCTTTACTATATTTCTCTACTTAGGTTCCTATACTAATCAAAGATAGCATCAATGTATTCAACTTTCGTTTTGCTCATATTTTTTTTATTGATTGCTATTTTAGTTTTAATAATAAAGAATATATAACCAACAAATGACATAAACCAAACTTCATCCCAAGTCTGTCTGATTAACACATCCACAATCAAAACCAAAAATAAAAAATAAAAAAAAATTAGATTAATCCTGATATAAGCTTAATATGGATAAACATTTTTCAACTAATCTCCCAATAATCCATTGAATTCGCTACTGACTATTTCTATTAATTTCACTGTAGAACGACATCTTATGTCCTATTCCCACAAGGTATAATGAACGAATTTTGGAAATTGGGGAGAAATTGATTCAAAAAACTAAGATATAATTCTCCCAGTTCCGTGTCCAAGGCCCCAAATTTAACACCTCCAACACAGCAAAACCGCAAAGCTATGAACATCCCTACCGTGTCTTTAGAATTAATCAAGATAACAAGAGCAAAAAATAAGATATGAAGGAGAGAGGACTGAACTGGGCACTGATGGGGGTTTTGTTGCTAGAGGAAGGACTTTGACCAATCTGAGGATGACCCGCGAACGCTTCGAGCCAACCATTCACATCAACCTAGCAATTCAATCAGATACCAAATTAAAATTGAGAAACAGAGAAGATATATATATATGGAGAGAGAGAGAGAGAGAGAGAGAGAGAGAGGAGGGGACCTTGTTGAACCAGATATCTCTGGCGGCGTTCACAAGGTGATCGTAACTGGAAAAAGGGCCAGCCGAGACCATTTCTTTTGCGAATTTGGTGCTTCCACAGCATGCTAAATAATCCTTCTCATCAAACGCCGATCCCATTTTTCCCTCTCCCTCTCTCTCTCTCTCTCTCTCTCTCTATCACCCTCTCTCTCTGGTCTGTGTATCAGGATATGCCTTCTCTCTCTCTCTCTCAACTACTACGGCGGGCGAGTGGAGCTCCTCTGCTGCTGTTAGTAGTCTAACAGCAAACTCTGCTGTTAGTGGAACGGTGCCGTTCCAAGCAATAATAAAAGAACCCGACATCCTGAGTAACGGCGCCGTCTTCCTCGTTGTGATCCTCTGTCAAAGTCTANTCTCTCTCTCTCTCTCAATTACTACGGAGGGCGAGTGGAGCTCCTCTGCTGCTGCTGCTGTTAGTAGTCTAACAGCAAACTCTGCTGTTAGTGGAACGGTGCCGTTCCAAGCAATAATAAAAGAACCCGACATCCTGAGTAACGGCGCCGTCTTCCTCGTTGTGATCCTCTGTCAAAGTCTAGGTTGTGCAGTTTTGTTTGTCTTCTCGTTGGGATTCTCCCTCAAACCAAATCGAAATTCGTCGACCACGATCATGTTCGAGTAAACAGTCATCTCCAATCAAGTAGTTTTTCAACTCAATTTCGATTATTGTCACTTTCTAATCTCATCTGTGTATATATATATATATANAAACGGCGCCGTCTTCCTCGTTGTGATCCTCCGTCAAAGTCTAGGTTGTGCAGTTTTGTTTGTCTTCTCGTTGGGATCCTCCCTCAAACCAAATCGAAACCCATCGACCACGATCATGTTCGAGTAAACAGTCATCTCCAATCAAGTAATTTTTTAACTCAATTTCGATTATTGTCACTTTCTAATCTCATCTGTGTATATATATATATATATATCTGTTGGTATGCATATATAATTTTGTAATTTACAATCACAATTAAACGAATAAAAGATTATCAATGCAGTCCAAGTATAGATCAATTGATCTCTCTTTTACCCGATTGTTATCCCTTTTTGATTTATGTACAGTAGGACTTCGAGGAAGATGAACGTGCACACACAGATGAAATTCAAGCACCATTGCTACAGTTCAATAATTTTCTTTTCAATTTTAATTTCTTTGTAAATAGTTCATTCATACATAATTGGATTAAATGTGTTATTCTTATATTTCAAAAATAATTTTGGAAAAAAATGAATTTCAGAAATATATTCATACAGAGCAGCCATCTGTTCAATAATTTCAGGCAGAGGCAAATTATGTGAAAATGANGTAATTTTCTTCTCAATTTTAATTTCTTTGTAAGTAGTTCATTCATACATAATTGGATTAAATGTGTTATTTTTATATTTCAAAAATAATTTTGGAAAAAAATGAATTTCAGAAATATATTCATACAGAGCAGCCATCTGTTCAATAATTTCAGGCAGAGGCAAATTATGTGAAAATGAAGGTCTTGCAAGTGCAAATGGGAAAAATACTCCTGACATTATAGACAACCACAAGAATGTTATTGAACATAAAGGATTCATAACTATTTTATACAGTAATTTCTCACCACTTCTCTTCATTAGTACACTGCTGTGATGAAATTGTAGTCTGTTTATATAATTATTGTGTCCTTTTTTTTTTATCTAGAAGTTTTCTACATACAGTCAGTTGCTTATATAAATTGAATTTGTCTCTGTCTGCTTCAATTGGTATTGGACTTCTATTTTTCTGCTACACTAGTTTTCAGTTAACAGAATATGATGCAGGCAAATGCTACAGGATCAAGTTATGATACCAAATGCTAGAGTGAGGAGGGTTNTTGTGTCCTTTTTTTTTATCTAGAAGTTTTCTACATACAGTCAATTGTTTATATAAATTGAATTTGTCTCTGTCTGCTTCAATTGGTATTGGACTTCTATTTTTCTGCTATACTAGTTTTCAGTTAACAGAATATGATGCAGGCAAATGCTACAGGATCAAGTTATGATACCAAATGCTAGAGTGAGGAGGGTTGTAGTTTGTGATCAAAGGCATAGCGCTGGGGTGGGATAATATGTTTTGCAACCATAGGATGCAAGCATGGAGTCAGGCACTGGTCCATCATTGTAATAAGGATTTGATTTGCCTTTGAAGGATTAAAGTCAGCTTCTAAGTTTCATGGATTTTGGTCAATTTCAGATTGAATAGACTGGCTCTGTTGTGTGGCAATGTTGCTGTTATGCATTCTTGAACAAATTTGATGAGGCTCTGCATCAGGTTCCAGGGTGGAGGTTTTAAGCTGGAGATTCTTTGCTCCAGACTCTAAAGCTGCAGAATCTTATAAGGGCAGNATCCTTTGAAGGATTAAAGCCAGCTTCTAAGTTTCATGGATTTTGGTCAATTTCAGATTGAACAGACTGGCTTTGTTGTGTGGCAATGTTGCTGTTATGCATTCTTGAACAAATTTGATGAGGCTCTGCATCAGGTTCCAGGGTGGAGGTTTTAAGCTGGAGATTCTTTGCTCCAGACTCTAAAGCTGCAGAATCTTATAAGGGCAGGTGTTGAGCTATGAGGTTCTGCATATAGTCGTTGTACAGGATCTGCATAGTGACTATTTTTTTGTACAATTTTCTGTTTTAGATTGTTAATATAGTTACTATTTGCTTAATAGTTTCTGTTTTTGCTTCTTGTAATTTTTGGATTTCAATAAATAAAATTCTCTTCTTTGGAGGCATGTTGTGGTTTTGCAATCTATGGCAAACTGACTATGCAGTCAGGATAGAATTTGAGACTAACTTGTTTTTTCTTGGATTTCTGGATAAAGACAGAGCAGGGCTTGTTTACTTGTCTCATTGATTGTAATTCTTTTTCTATGAAATAAAGTGTATTGGTTGGTTGAAAATGATATATTGGTGTATTGATTGGTTGAACATGGTGCTTTGTTGCATGGTACATAACAANGACTGACTGTGCAGTCAAGATAGAATTGGAGACTAACTTGTTTTTTCTTGGATTTCTGGATAAAGACAGAGCAGGGCTTGTTTACTTGTCTCATTGATTGTAATTCTTTTTCTATGAAATAAAGTGTATTGGTTGGTTGAAAATGATATATTGGTGTATTGATTGGTTGAACATGGTGCTTTGTTGCATGGTACATAACAAAAATTTACTTGTCCAAGATAAAAAAAAATTATTTGTCCAAGATCAATTCCATAAAAAAATAAAAATGAGATTATGTACACAAGAGTTTCTAAAGGGATGACAGATCTTCTAAAACAACAAAATAGAAGATCCACCATTCCCATAGCAAAAGAAGATCCACCATCCACATTTCAAAAGAATAAAAAAAAAATTGTCAATCTTGAACAAAAATTTGAAGCACCGCATTGCAACAACATCCAGCATTGCAGCAACATCAATTCTCCTCATTAGGATAATCAACGACGTTGTCCAAGAAGCATGATTCAACATTTACCCGAGCATTTTGTGAAGCAATTGATGCTTGAGAATTTGATGCTTGAGAAGACATGCTTGAGATTGGATTTGAGTGACTATAAGTTGATGACCATGAGTTGGTAAATCCATTCATATGTGAATTTTGCTCATCTGATTAAGATACCTTCAAAACAAGCATTCAAAGATGTAAGATACAATTAAAAAAAATAAAAATTTAAAATATCATAACCATAATGTTGGGGTTGTAATACCTTAGACCTATAGGAAGTTCTAGTTTTCCTCTTCGTTGACTTCTCATTCCAAGGCTTCAATCGACCCCAACCCTTGTAACTACCATCTTTCCTCTTCAAGCCAGCTACCCGTACAATGTTAGGCTCAACATTTTCTACTCTATTAGAGAGAGATTGATTTTCTACTCCTTCATCACCATCATTGTCCTCCTCAGTACCAAGTGATGCATACATCAAATCCACTTGTTGAACAACTTATCAATACCGCGGTTCACCAACTGGTGTGCAGACTTAAGATTAGAACAACGAGCTGCTAAATGTACCATTTTAGGACATAGCTGTCTGTAACGTGATGCTNGAACAACTTATCAATACCGCGGTTCACCAACTGGTGTGCAGACTTAAGATTAGAACAACGAGCTGCTAAATGTACCATTTTAGGACATAGCTGTCTGTAACGTGANCTTGTTTGAACAACTCATCAATACCGCGGTTCACCAACTGGTGTGCAGACTTAAGATTAGAACAACGAGCTGCTAAATGTACCATTTTAAGNAAGTGATGCATACATCAAATCCACTTGTTGAACAACTTATCAATACCGCGGTTCACCAACTGGTGTGCAGACTTAAGATTAGAACAACGAGCTGCTAAATGTACCATTTTAGGACATAGCTGTCTGTAACGTGATGCTGCCATCAACTTGGGATCCTCCTCATTTAGTATGGCACTAGAATAAGGACTTGACCACTTTCTTGCATCTCGCCTCCATCTCTATATTATGTATTGGTCAGGAATTTGCTTAATGTTCATCGTGTGTAGCACTTTAAGTGCATGACCACATAATATCCCAATTATTTCAAATTTTCGACAACTACAAAAAATGGTTTGCTCATTGACATTGATCAACATCATGTACTTTCTCTCTTCATCATACAACTCTACCACAAATTCATGACATCCATCGAACACATTACAAGGACTCGCAATAGCACACTGGAATACATTATATTCATCTTGAAATAAATCAAATATAGGAGGAGTGTAACATTGAGCTACTTGTGCCAACATCGGAGCTCTTTTCAACTTCATTCTAGGTAACTTTTGCCTAGCTTGATATTCCTTCTCTGTCTCCTTATATCTCTTATCATTTAAAATCCTGTCAAAATGTGTAAAAAAGCGAACAATATCATGGTCTGGCTTTAAGTATTTTCGTAATGCTGAGTTCAAGCTCTCACTTAGCTGAGTGTTNCCAACATCGGAGCTCTTTTCAACTTCATTCTAGGTAACTTTTGCCTAGCTTGATATACCTTCTATGTCTCCTTATAGCTCTTATCATTTAAAATCCTGTCAAAATGTGTAAAAAAGCGAACAATATCATGGTCTGGCTTTAAGTACTTTCGTAATGCTGAGTTCAAGCTCTCACTTAGCTGAGTGCTCCTCATACCGGCTGTGAAAATCTGCTTCAT